CCCACCCCACGCCGGCCTTCGCGCATGCTGTTCCCTGCGCCCGGAATGCCTCTCCTTCCCCTACTGTTCCCGGGGGTTCATTCTCACCTCCCGCAAGGCTGGGTGAGGGCTTTCCCAGGTCCACAGTCCCTGGATTGCTCAGCGCCGGCCCTGCCCTGCCGAGGGCAGCTGCGGGGGGCGGGGCGGGCAGGGCCTCCCTCTGTTACCTGTAGCCCCTGCGTCCAGGCCCAGGCTCGGCACACAGGAGGCCTTTCCTGGGCACGAGGGGCACCTGGGAGAGGGGCACGTTCCTGTGGGAAGTCTGAGCCGACTGGACCTGGGTGAGGCTGTGAGGGCCTCCCAGGGGGCGTGCAGGGCCAGGTGTGGCGGTGGGCGCGCTGGCGACGCTGGGCTACGGGGACTCACAAGCGCACAGAGCAGGTGAGGGTGCCACACAGCCTCCGTCTGGCGCTGGTGCCGCGGGAGGTCTCAGCTCTCCCAGCTCGGTTCCTTTCCCTGTTAACAATGGAGCTGAGTCACCTGTTGTGAGCACCACTGGGCAGCTCAGTGGCATGGCACTGTGACCCCTGAATTGCTAAGCAAATGTTGGTTCATGTTCTCCTTAGAAATCTTTCAGGAAGCCTGGGATCGGACTGATGGGAGGGAGGGAGGTGAGGAGCTCAGCCTTGCTCCGGCCGCCCAGCTGGAGCAGACGTCAGGGTCAGGTCAGGGTCAGGAGCAGCACACGCGGGCCGGGCTCTCCAGCGTCTGGACAACTTCCGCCAGCGAAGAGGTCAGGGCCTGGCCTCGGTGTCCCTCTGCCCAGTGGCCTACTGCTCTGAGCACAGAGGGCAAGGTAGACACCACTTGTAGCCAGGCCGTCGGCGGGTGGGGCATGTGCCTCATTCGCGGGCAGCTGAGCGGACAGCGGCCTCTCCAGCTCGTCAGGGCTTGGGCTTCTGGCTGCAGCTTGGAAGGGGCTGACTCAGGGCTGGGCCCTGTGAGAAGGGGCAGATGGCCTGGGAGGGAATTCCAGACCACGCACGGCCTTATCTGGATCTTCATCCAAAACTAACGGACGCCGGCCGAGTGTGGAGGCTCCCGGGGAGCAGCGTGCCCTCCAGCTCCGTGGTCTCTGCTTCACCCCAAAGAGGCCTGACCCCAGGTCCAGCTGCGCAGGCGTCTTACAGGCGTGCACAGGGGTCCTGGTGCGGATGCCCTGTGGCCAGGCCCGGGGGAGAGCAGGGATTGCCGGGGGCCTGTGGGCCTGGGGAACATCCTGCTGCACCCGGGGCCAGGGCGAGGGGCCAGGGCGAGGGGCAGCCATGATGGATGGGCACCAGGCGGTTGGGGATACCACAGTGCCACCCCCCAGCTCACCGCACCTGACGGCACCCCGGGGCCTCTTCCTGAGCCTGCAGGGGCCTGAGGGGCGGAGCCTGCGATGGTGCCCTGCAGGCCTGGGCCCTGGCGCTTGCCACCCCTTCACAAGCTGGGCTCCGTGTCTGGTACCTCTGGGTCTGCGCAGGTGCGGGTCTTCCCGCTAGAAATGTTTCCTCATCCCCAGCCTTCACCGACCGACTCACCCATTTTTCAGGCTGAGCTTGGGCACTGCTCTGTGGAGAGTCCCTGTGCAGGTGCCCAGACCCGGTGAGGTGCCTCCGGTCCTTCCACCTACCGCTCACTGGCCTGCTCAGAGCGCTCTCACCGGGACCTGGCTGACCACCTCGCCAGGCTGAGGAACCCGAGGCCACCCGTCCACTCCCGGGCAGGCGGGGTGCCTGGCGGGCACTGCTCAATACAGATTTGCCCTAGGGCCCTGGCCCGCGCGGCTCCATTGGTTGGAGCCTCATCTCGTGCACCAGAAGGTTGTAGGTTTGATTCCTGGTCAGGGCACATACCTAGGTTGTGGGTTCGATCCCCAGTCAGGGTGCATGTAAGACTGATCACTGTATCTCTGTCACATTGATGCCTCTCCCCCCGCCCCCTTCTCCCTCTCTGAAAATCAATTTAAAAGTTTGTAATATGGATGGGTACGTATAGAAATAGATGACTGGATGGACAGACATGTGAATAGTGATCGATGAAAGGATGGACAGTGGCTGGGTGGACTCACCTGGCAGGCATAGGGCCGCCTTGGGTGGAGTCAGCACAGGCACATCCTGCCCAGGGAGCAGGGGCCCTCCTGGGAAACCCCGCCGACTGCCCTGGAGACCTTCACAGGCCTCTCAGTCTGAGAAGCACTTGCACCTCCGCAGAGACTGTGGAGGAGAAGGAAGCTCTGGAGGGAAAGGGAGCAAGGAGCGGCCGTCTCGCCTTGGCCATAGCCAGAGAGAGCGGGGCATTGGGGAGAGCACGGTGGATGGGCCTGGTGAGGTAGCTGGGGGCTCAGGCTGGGGTGGGGCTAACAGTGCTGCTGGCTCAGCCCCAGGGTCCCAAGTCGGGCTTGTTTCCCTCCCTTGTCCCAGGCAGCACCCAGCAGGAAGCGCCCCTGGGCAGCTGGGTGGAGGCGGGCAGACGACAGCGGGTCCTCCTGGGAGAGGACACAGGGCTGGAGCCGCAGCAGGGCCCGAGGCT